CTCTTTGAGCCCATCAGTAGGGATCCACACACAAGAGTCAACTCTAGCATTCGCCTGTCACCTGCATCAGGGAGGAAATAAAACCCTGAGTACTCAATTGTATTCAGCAAGACTTACCCGCCATGAGAAATAAAAGACTCCAATGATATGCAAGGCTATCTGGCTTGTGGATTTATTGCATCTGCTGGGTCATTACTAAACATGCGGCCTTATATTCAATTTTATTAGCAGTCAGCATTAGTTCATTAACCAACAATTCTATGTAAGCACCCGTGCTACTTTTAAGCAAGTGGTAAGCAATCAGAATTATTTTACCATCTTTCATCTTTAAGTTCTTACTACGGTGCTAGACTATAGACAAATCATACCGGATCACCTGCCGATTCGTGAACCATTGCATCCTAGCTAGGTACCCTGAAACGCACGCCCCGCTTGTTCCCCAGGCACAAGCAAGACCAAGCCACTACCCTCCAGTCACGGAGTCTAGGTCTCCATCTAAACTTGGACTCCAAGCCCCGCTCCTGAGTCCCGGACTCAGTGCGGTGCTTAGACCTCCACCATCCCCGTCTCTAATTAGTCGGTCCAGAAAGAGCCAGAACCCATGACAAGAGGACAATGAGCCTTCCTGCGCCCATATACAAGTATGTGTTCAGGATAATAAGTCTATGACCTGACTATCATCCATTGCAACGGTCGGTCCTTAACCGACACAGGGAGAACAAGTGCAACCCGAGCCTCGCTCGAATGCCAAACCAAGTCTAGATCCAAAGTACCATTCTGCCCGGTCTTCAATTATCATTCATATATATTCCATGTGATAGTAATATAATAACAATAATAAGATCTTTTCTATCTCTCATGAGTGACAGGCAATCACTCGACTTCTACTGGAGTCCTATAGCATAGCAATCTACACGATCCTGTCATACTAGTAAGAATCATAGAGTAAGGATATATATTTATATATATATATATATATATATATATATACACACAAGTGGGTTTTATTCAACTCCTTTAACTTAATGCACAAGCATAAATTAAAGTGCAGAATAATAGGGGTTATGAACCGGGCCTTACCTGGGTAAGATATAACCAAAAGTTAGCATCCCAACGTGGCGACACGATCACCAATGCACCATCTTTTCTGCTACTCCTGTCGTCTCCATGATCCATCGTTGTTCCTATTAGGATATACGTGGATGCAACGATAGATGTAAATAATCAACGACGGTACCAAACTCTTAGAAATTGACACGCCTCACAAGCTAACGAGATAGCTCTAACGCGCTAGTCTATGTATCCACGCCGTCAAGTAAGGCTCGTTCTTGAAAAATGTTTTGGTTCTACAAACCCCCTAATTAATTTCGACATTTGATTGATTAAATATATATTTTCGTACTAGTGCTCATTGAGTTATCTTAACAAACTAATTCCTATGGAGCTACAAAAATTATAGTGAGCACCTAATATTGCTAGGAATCTCATCAAAATTTTCAGAGCCAACATTGTCACCAATTTATCACAATAATTCCTACAAGTTTATATTTTGATAATATTAAGTATCTCAAATTAATTATATAGCTTCTAAGAATATTATAAAACTATGTGAACAAAATATACTAGCAGATAGATTATGATTTTAGGATCCTAATAAAATTTGTTTTACTATTTTTGGACGTCAATGTGATTTTATAATATTTACCAGATATCCGCTAAGAAATAACATGAACAATCTATTTCTAATTCCTTCAAAAAAAGAAAAGCCAAAACCAGCCCATGGCATGGCCCAACTGGGCGCTGCCCATACGCAGGCGGCTTGTGTGTGACGCGACCCACGGCGGAGGCCGGTGGCCCACCAGGAGCGCCCGCGGCCGGCTGCGGCCCATGTGGAGCCGAGGGCCCAAGCGGTCGGAGCGCCGGCCAACAGCCCTAGTGGCCCAGTAGACCCCCACTCCCCACACACTTTTTGCGAAACCACCCCTAAACTTTCTCGAAACTAACCCGCAATATAAGAAAAATATTCATGTGAGTCACGGTTTTGCATTGGGAACCCTAGACTTGTTTCTATTCTCACCCGTGGTCCTTCTCTTGAATCAGAGCAGAGCAGCGAGCAGGGGAGGCAGTGCGCCGGCCGATTCCCGGCTGAAGGGTTGGCTCGCCGGCGGGCGGTGTTGTCGCAGAGGCTGCGGTAGCCACCCGCACGTGCCTAGGTAGGATGTGGCTCGCCTGGAGGTGGCCCGCGCTGGCGTGGTCGCGCGCACGCATAGGAGAGGAGGCGGCGGCAATCTCCAACTCGGCCAAGGTGCGCCAGGCGGAGAGGATGAATAGGCGAAGGTGGTGGTGGTGGCGGCTTGGCTGGGCATAGCCGGCAGTGGCCCCGCCATGCGCGCGGTGGTCGCGGCAAGTGGCTACACGACGTCGGTGCACAATCGGCGGCTCCCGGCCGACAGCAGCGCGGCTACGGCGGGGACAGCGGCATGGCTCAGCAAGGACCGACCGGGGGCACGGGAGTGGCGGCACGAGCAGGGGAAGGAGGTGGCTGCGGGAGCCTCCCTGGCCATGGCGGCCATGCCATGCTATGGGCGGCAGAGCAAGGGAGAACACGAGGGGAGGCAGAGAGGAAAGTAGGCAGCAGCGGCACAATCCTCTCCTCATTAATGCATGCGTCGGACAGGGACGAGGTAGGTGAGATGAGTGGCTGAGAGCGAGCGCTGCCATGACCGAACGGCAACGGACAAGAGCACCTCCCTACACGCGCGCGCGGACGGCATTACGATCGACAGCAGCCACGCATGATTTTTAAAGCGAACGAAAAACTGCTAACGATCACGATTGAGGTTCAACTAATTCCACGACTCTAAAGTTGATCTTATCAGCCATCTAATGGAGCAATCCGCACAACAAAAGGACCACCCGAGAGGAAGATAGGAGGATGCCAAGATGGGTTCGTCAAGCTGGGCGCTGGTTCGCGAACCGAAGCAAGTAATTCACGGTCATGGCAGCAGCGTTTCTAACGGTTAGGCAATTTCTACGAGTGCGTGACACCCATCGCCACCTCGACCTACACCGTTCTCAAGTGCTCATTTCGACGCAACTGACGGTGCAAAAACATGGAGTTGGTGTTTAGGAAATTTTGTGGATATTTAAATGTCGAAGTAGCATTGTCTATCATCTTTTCAGACTTCAAAGGAATTCAAGGTTCCATATAGAACTAACACTCCCTAGCACTTTGCCGTAATTTTTACAAGGTCTAAACCTCGACCATTTCAACTAACAAACATAGCATGACATAGCCCATACTCCATACTAACCCACGGGAGCAAAACATTTGAACACCTCTTAATTATTTTGCTTAATATAAATAGTTAAAAATAGCATCCTAACTAAAATTTCAACTTCCTGCCGATTCACGAAAGGTCTAGTTTAAATGTCGGATTCGATTTCTGAACTATCAGATATACTATTGAACAACTTTTATTCACCAAAACAAGAGTTGCATTTTCATCTATTAAACTTGGGCTCCAAATTTTATCCAAGTACTAAATACAAGTTATATTTTATTTTGTTTATAAAAATTGCTTTCGTGCGGATGTTTAAAACTATTTATTCTACTCTTCGCGTTAGGATTTTTTATTAACACATATAGGCATTTACGTAACTAACCCACTATATTTATAGATCTATCGCTCAGGCCATTATCTCTGTGCTTAGCGAGCTCGTAAGTGTTATAACCAACCCCCTAAAAAGAATCTCGTCCCGAGATTCGGAGTAAGAATCAGAAGAGGGGAAACACGATTGTATTTCGTAAATCTAGACTTACATGAAAGATTACACGACGTCGAACGCTAAATTACATTGGGATTTAAAGTTACATGGTTAAAAGCAACCTGTACAACCAAAGCTTAATCCAGAAGTCGAGAAACAACAAGATAATGATTATCCAAAACATGGCGTATGACCAACAGATCCAGAAACAGGAGACTGAGAAATCAAACATCGTGAACCCTAAGACCAAACTAACCAACGGTAGACTTGAACTTCCTCGAAAACCAGATCCCTTCTTCCTCTCAGATTACACAATCACCTCTGACTGACGAACCTAGTTCCACAATGATGACTGGATCTCGTAGCTCTGCTTCGGATTCGAGGGGATGGGGATGAAGAAGAAGGGCAAGGTCCATGGGTATCTTATAGTGGTGAACGGAGGTGGGGACTTAGCGCACCGAAAGTGGAGCGGCATGAATGGGATACACTGACGGTTCATGCTGTGGGGATAAAGTCAGCCATGGTGCGCTTCCTGCGCGAGCGGCAGAGGGAGGATAAGGAGAGGAGAGGAGAAGGGTTCGCTCGACGAGGAAGGCGTGCGGCGGCCGTGTCCCCAAGAGAAGAAAAGGAGAGGGAAGGGGGGGGTCCGGTACGGGAACGAGGATGTGGGATCGAGAGCCAACAGGATGCCGAGAAAAAGGGGAAGCACACAGCACACAAGGACGGCTTGTGATGAGCCTTGAATTTGGTGAAATTACGTACTCCATTCCTTATACTAATATTAATTATTAGCTCGTGAAGAATACGATGGTGATGAATCAAAGTATAAATAAAAAATGAGTGGGAAAATGATGAAGATGGACTAACACATACTCACGTTAAAAAAAGAGAGAGAACCCACAGACGATTGATGTATAGTCAAAGCTCAAACAACTACTTAGTACATAACCGTTCCTTGCATTACCCCTCGCAAATGAGCTAAGTTTATTTATTTAATTTATGTTACATATCTCACTCACAAAATAGAGTATATATAAGTGTATTTACTACGCAAAGCCTTATTGATATCTTTTTTATGTTCGTATACGTACACACCCATGTACACGCGGGGCAAAAGATGCCAAGTGTAGATTTGATATTCCACAATCAACGATTCAACACCAGCGTCAACTAGTGTATCAGGCAATTAATAGCAAGGGGCATTTCACGTATGACGTGGATGACCTGCATGTTTACGCCAGAACCATCTCTAGCTCCAGCGCAGACTGTGCAGTCCTGTATGCCCTGGGGTGATTCTTGACCGGGTAGTAGGTATCCATGGCGATGCCGCACTTGCCCGTGGGCGCGGCCACGTTGCGCCTCATGCGGATGTAGCCGGCCTCGCCCCAGCTGATGCCCCACGAGTTCTTCACGATCCAGTAATCCTTGTCATTCTCGCTGCCATAGCCCACCGCTGTGACGCCGTGGTCTAGCTTCGTCCCGCATACGCCGTCGAAGACACCCTGTTGTGTGAGCGTGCGAGGGTAGAAATAAAGTTGAGGGCCGGGGAAGGGTTTAAGTTGCTAGGCTGTTTCGAATGAGTTCCCCAAAATACATTTTTTGAATAAATAAACAAATGGCCTATATGCATGCATGTTGTTTCCCTAGTCGTGGCATGCATTATAAGCGACGTTTTTTATTTTTACCGATTTATAGAGCTGGAACGAACGGCCGCCAGCCTCGATGGTGACGCTAACAGGCTGATTGGCCACCACCGCCTGTAACGCCTTCTCATTGTTGGCTGGCAACACCCTCTTGTACGAACTTATGGACACAACCTTCTTCTTTATCTACATAACAAAACATGTACAAATATCCATCACCATCGACGCAGCGAGCAGGTTAGGTGTTCATGCAAATTTACTGCAGAAACAGAAACTTAATTACTTATCATGACAGTAGCGTACCGACCTTGTTGGCATCACAAGTGCCGTCACGTCCGGTGAAGCGGTAGTCGGCCTCGGTGTCGATCCCGCCATTGCTGATAACCCACTGGAAAGCGTAATCCATGCGTCCGCCTTTGCAGCCATGGCTCTTGTGATCGCAGTCGATCAGCTCCTGCTCCGACAACTCCACGAGCTTACCTGTCACGATCTTGTTGATGCCCTCCATTGCCGCCACTGCCGAGAATGCCCAGCACCCACCTGCGCGCATCTCTCAGGGGCGCAAAGATCATCCATCAGTCAAATACATACCTGGCTCCATATTCTTACCGGAGATGAGAACTTCATAGCTCGATCGAGCTATGGAGCAACGACGAGCCGACGATCGTGTTTACGGACCGCATTTGCCTTGGTTCCTGACGCTGGTGACGGCGCCGCTCTTGCGCCAGTCGACGGCGGCTGGGACGGCCTATGGCTCGCCAGCGCTGTGCAGGTCGAAGCGGGTGCTCCGCCCGTCGGCGGCGTCGTCTGCCGTCGTGTCGTTGCGGCGGCTATGCTGGAAGCCGAGGACGCGGCCGCGGAACTCCTCCAGGGTGAGGTCGGCGAAGGGGGTGAGGCCGAGGCGGAAGCCGTGGAGCCCCAGGTCGGCCTCGGCGTTGTGGGCGTCGATGTAGCGGAGGTTGTCGCGGAACACCTCCAGCCGAAGGAGGTCGTCGTCGTTGCCGCGCGGCGGCCACGGTGGGTGCTTTGACTTCCACGCCTCGTACAGCTGCCGCACCTCCTCGTCCACCCGCTCCCACGGCGCTGCCGAGTGGATGCTGCGGGGCGCAGCGGAGACGCCGACGGCGGCCAGTGCCACGGCCAATGCCACCGCGAGCATTGTGGCCGCCATCGCCGTGGGCGCAGGGGAGCGTGCCGGATGCATGGGATGCATGGGCGCTCGAGAGCCGGACTGGTCTCAACTCTCAAGTCTCAAGACAAGTGCTGTCGTACGGTCGCGTGGGTCGGCTCGGTGCCTCAGCCTGTGAAGCGAAAGGGTCAATTTATAGCCACGCGGGACGGCAAGTGGACCATCCGGGCCCACCCACGGCGCCAACCAACAACCGTTGACGCGATTTGTAGAGATAAGCACCACTAGAGCTACGAGTCTACGCCGATGCTTGTTTTGGCACGGTTTCTAGTTAGTTTTTTTTAAGTAAAAATAAATTACACTATCATTTTCTAAAATATTAAACAATTCTTATCTAGATCCCCCAACTATGAAATTGCATATCTAGGTCCTGAACTATTTAAGTATGTCATCCAGGTCCAAAACAGCCACGGTCCATTAATTAACGTGACGCTCGCATGAAATTGACATGTGGGTCCATAGCTTATAATTACAGGGACGGTGCCTAAACTATCATGCGATCCTCACATAGGTCCTAAACTATAAAATTACCCATCTCGGTCCCTAATCTGCCAATATAGTTGGATCAAGGGACGCGCCGGGGCAGGTATTGTTGTCAAGTGTGTGCCAAAACACCTCACTCACTCATTGTGAATTGGTGACATGGAACAACCGGTCAGCAACAACTTCGCGGGTACGTTGGCCAGTTATTCCATGTCACCGTAGCGAGTGATGTATGTGTCTTACCACACACTTGACGACAGTGCGTGTCAGTATGTCGCCCGATCCAACCATATTGGCAGATGGCATCAATACATTTCTCTCCGAGATAAGATGAAAAGCAGACAATAAGAAGTTCAATGGCAAGCAAAGGCTCGGAAACCTGTCTGGCAATTCACACGACGATGAATGAAGCGTGAAGAGGTTTCTTTAGACAAGGACTACATTAGTTTAATAGATTATCAGGGACCAAAATGAGTAATTTTATAGTTTGGGACCTAGGTGAGAATCACATGATAGTTTACACCATCCCTATAATTATGAGTTACGGACCCACAGTAGATTCCACGTTGGAGCGCCATGTCAGCTAACGGATTGTGACATGGCTGTTTTACACAAAGCCTTACTGACATCTTATTTACATCCGTACACATCACACTTGGGATAAAAGGTGCAAAGTCTAAACTTGATATTCCACAATCAACACCGGCGTCAACTAGTGTATCAGGCTATCAATAGCAAGAGGGAATCCATATATGATGTGGATGGTCTGCATATCTACGCTAGGACCACATATGTAGTTCCAGCACAGATCGACTGTGCGGTCCTGTTCACCCTGGGGCGATTCTTGCTCGGGTGGTACGTATCCATGGTGATGTCGCACTTGCCCGTGGCCATGTGCACGTTGTGCCTCATGCAGATGTAGCCGGCCTCACCCCAGCTGGCGCTCCACGAGTTCTTCATGATCCAGTAGTCCTTGCTGTTCTCGCTATAGTATAGCCCACCGCTGTGACGCCGTGGTCTAGCTTCAGCCCGCATACGTCGTCAAAGACACCCTGTTGTGTGTGTGTGAGCGTAAGTGTTGGGGTGGGGGCAAAGTTCTTCGGTTGTTTTGAATGAGATTCAAAAAATGCATTTTTTAAATAAATGGCCCAGATGAGTAATTTTATAGTTTGGCACCTATATAAGAATCACGTGATAGTTTAGAGAGTTCCTATAATTATGAGTTATGGACCCACATGTTGGTTTCACGCTGGAACGCCACGTCAGCTAATGAACTATGACGTGGCTATTTTGCACCCGGATGACATACTTAAGTAGTTTAGGAACCTAATCTGCAATTTCATGGTTTGAGGACCTGGATGAGAATCGTGTAATACTTTAGGGACCACCAGTGTAATTTACTCTTAATTTTAGTTGCAATAGAGAAAAGACAGGGATCTACGTCAAACTTAAAGAATATTTATATAGAAGATATAACTGGATAACTGAGAAGCGGATGACGTTGTTTCGCTTCTTCTGGAATTTGACATAGCCTAATTGTTTTGACCCCGGCTTCTGCTACATTTTGTTTAAGTGAAGTACTGTCATTGTCGTAGTTGCATAAAATTGTGATTATATATATAGGAGCTGACTTTGTGCAAAAACAAAAGGTGGCCAAATGATGAAAGCATATATAATAGTGAATTTAATCCTTTTTGCTTTCAGAAATCAAATTCGATTGGATGGAACCGGATTGCAAGATATGTTAATGGGATCGGTGATGTAATCTTCAACTTTTGTATTATGCATTTGCATGTTTTCTTATTGGAGATGATTAAGGAGGCGAGGCGATCAACCAGCCTTAATCGCATTCCTTCTAAGACGTGCATATAGCCAAAATCTCTAGAAGCCCTGTTCGTTTCACTGAAATTTGGCTTATGCTGATTTGTTATGTGAGAAAAACACTGTTCGTTCGCTGAAAAGTACTGCTGAAGTAGCATACGCAACAGCATCCACTAGCGATCTGTCTCAACATGCAAACTGTCCACTTTAGCAATGCACTATCACATGCAATTAAAATCCACTAGGACATGCAATTGTGATATCCACATCAGCAAGACACACAAAGCATTTTGTTGTCCATGTCAACATGCCACGCAATCCACTAGCATTAATTTATAATAGTTTATTTCTTCGTATAAGTATTTATATATAGTCCAATTTTATTCTATATTATCCACAATTTATGCACCAACGAGCGGGCTATGCTTCTAGTTTGTTATATATATATATATATATATATATATATATATATATATATATATATAAAATAAAATCTCTAATTTATGGAATTCCTTGAACAGTTGGACCTCAGAAGCAATCCAAACCATCTCATTTAATTCCAACTTCACTCTTGAACGCCAGCCAGCAATCCAGCATCAATCTACATCGATCCAAAGTTTTGTTGCTTGTTTGCGACTGCATGAATGAGAAGTGTACGCCCACTCCATTGCAAAAATATTAAGTGTATTTTAGTTTTATCATATATCATATTTATAACAGATTTGTTCTAACTTTGACAGAGTCTATTAAAAAAATACTGGCGTGCACTATGTCAAATAAATGCACTATTGAGGTATATTTCGTAGTGATTTAATGAAACTAATTTGGTGGTATCCAAGACTCCAAGTTGATGGATTTTTTAGTTAAAGTTAAACAAAATTTAAGTTAAAACACCTTACACTTTTTTGAAGGAGCGGAGTAGGCGAGTACTCGATCACGTGCATGCGTGATCCGAACATTGTTTGGGTTCAGTCGATCCAGCGGCGGTGCATGCCGGTTGGCTTCAAGTCTGACGGCGATTTGTCCACCTCTTCTGACCCAGTGTTGTTCTGTTGGAGAAGCTACCCGAGAGGAGACCATCTCTCCGCAGTCCGCACCGCAGATGTGAGCTAGTTCAGCGAGGGCAGGGCGTCATGGGCTCATGGCTGATTGGTTGCATTCACATTCTTTTTTTTTGTGGGTGCATCATACACACAATCTAATCTAATTGGAAACAGTCGTGGAAGGTGGAACTGAAAAAATTGTTTAGTTGTACTCTCTGGCTAGGCAGGGCAGAGCAGAGTTTCCTTTTGGTTGTCTTATGAGAGGGCTGAATGCATTTCAGAACTGTTAAAGCTTTTTTGTTTTTGTTTTGTGTTTATTTTTTCTTCATTTCACAACAACAAGATGCGAGCTTAATATATTTCCATAAAAGGCAAGTACTAACCTGGAGTGTTACCTATTTTTTCCTGATTTTGGATTTATCCACAGTATGCATTAAAAAAATTTAGAAGGAAAAAACAACGCATAAAAAGTCCTCAATGTTCCATCTTAAATTTCTGGATGCCTATGATAGTAATATAATAACAATAATAAGATCTTTCCTATCTCTCACGAGTGACAGACAATCACTCAACTTCTACCGGAGTCTTATAGCATAGCAATCTACACGATCCTGTCATACCAGTAAGAATCATAGAGTAAGCATATATATATATATATGCAAGTGAGTTTTATTCAACTCATTTAACTTAATGCACAAGCATAAATTAAAGTGCAGAATAATAGGGGTTATGCACTGGGGCTTGCCTGAGTAAGATATAACAAAAATTAGCATCCCATTGTGGCGACACGATCACCAATGCACCATCTTTTCTGCTACTCCTGTCGTCTCTATGGTCTATTGTTGTTCCTATTAGGATATACGTGGATGCAACGTATAGATGTAAATAATCAACGATAGCCGAAACTCTTAGAAATTCGATTGCACCTCACAAGCTAACGAGATAGTTCTAATGTGCTAGTCTATGTATCCACGTCGTCAAGTAAGGCTCGTTCCCAGAAAATGTTTTGGTTCTACAATCCCCCAATTAATTTGGACATTTGATTGATTAAATATATATTTTCGTACTAGTGCTCATTTAGTTATGTCGGTGTTTTGGACCGGGGGGTCCTCAACCGACTAGTGAAAGTGTACTGCGTGTTCCTAATCCCGGATGGTGATGCAAAGAGACACAAGGTTGATACTGGTTCAGGCAATAGGTGCCCTACGTCCAGTCTGAGTGAGCGATCTTGTATTCCTTGCACCGAGGTGCTTGTAGTAGGGGCTTACAAGCTGGGCGAGAGAGGGCGCTAGCCTCAGGTCTCTGTGAATTACAGTGTGTGTTGCTTGAGATGTTGATCTCTCGCGGTGAAAGAGCGTGCGTGTTACAGAGTGTTGTGCGTGGTTTGCACCGGTGTGTGTGTTATCTGATCCGATCTCTAGGAGCGGCCCTAGTCACTCCCTTTTATAGCCGAAGGGAGGCACAGGGGCGGTACATGTATTTGCTACGTGGCATTTTTTGCTTGGCGGAGGCGGCATGTCCGAGCCCTGCAGCTTGTTACTGTGGCGGTATGGTCGGTGGAGCGGTTTTGTCTTTGGTGCACTGGAGTGACGCGCCGGTCACGCCCGATCCTGTGTGACGTGGGAGCTCCTGTGG